CACCTTTAATAATTCCTTTGCTCAAATTACCACTTATGTCCTTTTCCCGTAGCTGAAGTAACACATCAATATGCTAATAACCAGAAATCTCGCAAGTAGTTAACCATGCAACCCAATTATAGGCGGTGGGACTCTCCCACTTAGCTAGAAGCCATTATTACACGACTCTGGCATTCACCAGGACTCTTTATCTCTTATTGACGTAACCTTGCGCAATCAACTGCCAAAATCCTCGGAATCTTATTGTAAAACTCCTTTTTATACTTTGAATCATCAACCACATTTGCACGACCGATCTCTTTGCTGCATAACCAATAAAATTCTTTGCAGAAGCTTCGCCAACTATGCGACCGCTAACCTGCTCACAGGGATTAACCCACCTGAGTCCGAGTTCACTCTCTAGTTGCACAAGTCCATTCACCCCTTGTGGACATCAATTGAATTTGCGGCAACATCCTCTCAATTCAAAGTTATGTTGTATCCTTCTTCTTTTCCGGCAGTTCCTTCCCGTTATATCAAATCTCCTGCCGCATAATAGCCCATACTTCAAATTAAATTCGTAGACCCCAACCACCAATCACTAATATTCTCAAATCACTCAAAACTCTCCTTAAGGTACGTGGTCATCCCACTGCAAGCCCATATGCAACTCCGCCACTCTCCCACTTTGGCGGAACTCATCCCCTTAATCGACTACTCGACCCTTGGCCTCTTATACTCGGCCTTTTAGAAATTTAGCCACCGCCTGATACCTCCCACATTTCTTTCCTCATCCTTTGCTGCTCAGCTGCTACCTTAAATAAAATCTATCTTCGTGGCACTTGAACCCACAATTGCTGCTAACTTTACACCTTTCGAAAAATCATCCTTCTCATACCATCGACATTAGAAACATTGATTCGACCCTGAACTACCGCACCCTGCGATATCTGGCAGCCACATTTTCAATACTATGTCACAATAGCTTGCCCCAAAGGCGAATTGTAGAAGGTCATAACACCGACGAACTTAGTACGTTCAATTAGGACAACGACACCCCATCATAGAAGAAAGCTCCACCACGCT